GAGAGAGAGAGAGAGAGAGAGAGGAGAGAGAGAGAGAGGAGAGAGAGAGAGAGAGAGAGAGAGAGAGAGAGAGAGAGAGAGAGAGAGAGAGAGAGGAGAAGAGAGAAGAGAGAGAGAGAGAGAGAGAGAGAGAGAGGAGAGGGAGAGAGAGAGAGAGAGAGAGAGAGAGAGAGAGAGAGAGAGAGAGAGAGAGAGAGGAGAGAGAGAGAGAGAGACGAGAGAGAGAGAGAGAAGAAAAAAGCAGTACCAAGATAGCTTTCCAATCTCATATAATGACATCAGCATTAATCAATGGTGTTTGTAAAATGTATTATGAATTTATGAAGACTGTAAATCCAAGAAGCAAATACTATTATTCAATATGAATCAAATATTATTATCAATTATCAACTGTGATACATCCCTTTTAGTTGAATATTTCAACCTTGGGAGGGGGCCTCATATATATAGATATTCAGCCAGTTTATTAAAATTGTGCCAGGCCCATACCAATAGATTTTCATAAATACAGATGCAGAAATAAAGGCATAGCTGTCTATACATCTGATAGATATACATTTATCCATATATTTGCCAGGTTGATATGCATGTCTAGATTGATAAATGTGCATTTATTTCTTTATTTATGCATGTCAAGTATACAAATATCTTTTGGGTCGGGCCTTGTACAATTCAAACTGGCCCATTGTCAAAAACTACTAGACAAATTCATATTAATTGTTTATTAACTAAAAGGTGATGGCTTTGGCCATTATCTTTAAAGGTTATCAATAAAGAAAAGAATTCTCACCTCCCGGATACAGTGATAGTCTCAGTAATTTCTATATCTTCCGGCTGTCCTTTCATATCTAGCTTTGCTAATTTTATCAGCTTCTTCTCTCAGCTGTCTTCCATATTCAGCAATCTCATCACTTGCAAGGTTAGATGTCATGATAAAGATTGCATCCTGTAAAGAGGGTCTTGTTAATATTCTAAAATAATTTCTCAAACTTTAAAATGATTTCAAATATATATCTGAACTTGTTTAGTCTGTGATACAATAGTATCTAACAAATATTAAAATATTGTCCTATTACCTTACACTCAATAGTCTTTCCTTTTCCATCCGTCAGTCTGCCTTCATCAAATAGCTGCAGCAGAATGGTAAGAACATCAGGATGTGCCTTTTCTACTTCATCAAACAAAACCACAGCATTGGGGCATTCTCTCAGCTTCTTGGTTAGCTGCCCTCCATCATCATGCCCAACATACCCAGGAGGTGAACCAATGAACTTGGCCACTTCATGCTTCTGCTGGTATTCTGACATGTCCATACGAATGAAAGATGATTTCTTCCCCTTATGGAGGTATTCAGCTACCTGCTTGGCCAGCTCTGTCTTACCTATTCCTGAAGAACCAAGGAAGAGGAACACAAGTGGATGTTCTTCATCATACCAACCATTTTCTTTCCTCCTTATAGCTCCAGCTACCGTTGCTATGGCTCCTTCTTGGCCAATTATTCTCTGTTTGATTCTTTGTTCTAGAGGAAATTTCCTTCGTTCTTCCATTTCTTCCTTCTTTTGCTTAGCAATATATTTTTCGGAATGCCTCTGCATCATCGTCCTCATTCCAGTATCTCTTGAGTAATCTTCTGGTTTGAAGCGATATTCATTTTCAAGCATTGGGTTGGCACCAGAATCTAGTAATATCTGAATAGTCTCTGGGTCATTGGCAAGTACAGCATAGTGAAGGGCCGTACACCCACGGAACATGCGGCTATGGTTGAACAATGTGCAAAATTCACCCTCTCTTATCGCTTCAACACTTACAGGTGATGTCCTGTTTTCACGTGCGACCTGGAAAAGGAAAATGAGTCAAAAAAGTAATTCAAAATGAATACTATGGAATGAATATAATTCTATTGCTAAAACCTGCAATCTAAATGTGCACCGGCATTACTGGTACAAGTTATATCAATGAATCTACTTTATTTGCTGCTCTTATTCATAACCCTATCTTCAAAGACCACATTATTTGTAATTCTCATACTGAACTGCCTATAAGCTACTGTACAGTACTCATGTTCCAAGTTCAAGGCATCATATATATAAGAATTTTTATAATAGAACAAAAAAGTAAAATTTCAAAGGAAAGGTTATTGTGATTTTTAATCATTCTTCCTATAGCTGTTATCTCACATAGTAGATCATTTCTTTATCATCTTAAATTCATGTATCATAAATTAACAAATTCTTCGTGTACCCTACCTGATATATATTTGAAAAAGTATCTGCCATGTTTGGATCTGCTCCATTTTTAAGTAAGAATCTCACAGCTTCTGGACGACTATTAGCAGCTGCTGAATGAAGTGCTGTCCAGCCATATGGGTGACGACAATTTACATCCACACCCTTCTTTAGGTATTCCTTGAAAAGGGTAAGGAAAAATACATTATGGAGACACATATCCAACAGATTTTCTACGAAAGAGGAAAGATGGTAAAATTAATTCGATTTCTGGA